CCACCCCATCCCACACCACCCCACCCCACCCCACCACCCACCACCCCCACCCCACACCCGACCCCTCAACCCCCCCACCCCGCACCCCGCCAACCACGCCACCACGCCACCCCCCCACCCCCCCACCCCCACATCCCCCACACCCCCCACCCACCCCACCCCCCCCACCCCACCCACCCCCACATCCTTGTTCCTTATTAGAATATACCCCCACCTACGTCGCATTCCGGCCGACACTGACCCAATCCGGGACCTCCCATCCGGACTGTAAAAATCAATACAAAGTGGCAGTTTCTTTTCAACATCGTCTTTCTTGTCGTCGACGATGCGAACAGCGTGGCAGGAATGGGACGCGGCGCACATCGCGCGCGGCAGTCAATCTGGGCCCGCCCATCCTGACTGTAAATTACCCTGTGACGTACCCAACCCATTTGTATCAATGGAGACGAGGAGTTGGCCGAAACTTCTATGGACAATCAACTTGATGTGCGGGCTACTTGGGAGGCGTCACTGTGCTGGGGCGACAATTTCACAGATCGCAGCCCCCTAGGGATGGCGAGGTCGAATTTGAATCTGCGTGTGGCGTCACTGTGCTGGGCCCCCCAACAGGCCGCAAAAGTGGCGACAGTTTCACAGATCGCAGCCCCCCAAGGATGGCGAGGTCCCGTTTGAGTCCGCCGTGGGTACCCACTGTGCTGGGCCCCCCAGCAGGCCTCGAAGGTGGCGACAATTTCACAGATCGCAGCCCCCCAGGGATGGCGAGGTCCCATTTGAGTCCGCCGTGGGTACACACTGTGCTGGGTCCCCCCGCAGGCCGCGAAAGTGGCGACAGTTTCACAGATCGCGCCCCCCCAGGAATGGCGAGGTTCCATTTGAGTCCGCCGTGGGTATCCACTGTGCGGGGCCCCCCAGCAGACCGCGAAAGTGGCGACAGTTTCACAGATCGCAGCCCCCCAGGGATGGCGAGATACCATTTGGGTCCGCCGTGGGTACCCACTGTGCTGGCCCCCCAGCAGGCCTCGACAGTGGCGACAATTCCACAGATCGCAGCCCCCCAAGGATGGCCAGCGGTCCCATTTGAGTCCGCCGTTAGGTACCCACTGCGCTGGCCCCCCAGCAAGGCCTCGAAAGTGGCGGACAACAGTTTTCACTATCGCAGCCACCCGAAGGGATGGCGGGTACAGTTTGAGTCCGCCGTGTGTAACCCATTGTGCTTGGGCCCCCAGCAGCCCCTCGAAGTGGCGACCGTTTCGCAGATCGCCGCCCCCCAGGGATGGCGAGGTCAAATTTGAGTCCGCCGTGTGTACCCACTGTGCTGGGCCCCCCAGCACCCAGCAGGCCTCGAAAGTGGCGACAGTTTCACAGATCGCAGCCCCCCAGGGATGGCGAGGTCAAATTTGAGTCCGCCGTGGGTACCCACTGTGCTGGGCCCCCCAGCAGGCCTCGAAAGTGGCGACAGTTTCACATATCGCAGCCCCCCAGGGACGGCGAGGTCCCATTTGAGTCCGCCGTGGGTACCCACTGTGCTGGGCCCCACAGCAGGCCTCGAAAGTGGCGACAGTTTCACAGATCGCAGCCCCCCAGGGATGGCGAGGTCCCATTTGAGTCTGCGGTGGGTACCCACTGTGCTGGGCGCCCCCAGCAGGCCTCGAAAAGGCGACAGTAATTGCGCGTATCGCAAGCCCCCCACAGGATGGCGAGGTACGTGGTGAACTTCCGCTGTGCTGGGCCCCCCAGCAGGCTTCGAAAGTGGCGACTGTTTCGCAGATCGCAGCCCCCCAGGGACGGCGAGGTACAATTTGAGTCCGCCGTGTGTACCCACTGTGCTGGGCCCCCCAACAGGCCTCGAAAGTGGCGACGGCTTCGCAGATCGCAGCCCCCCAGGGATGGCGAGGTACAATTTGAGTCCGCCGTGTGTACCCACTGTGCTGGTCCCCCCAGCAGGCTTCGAAAGTGCGACAGTTTCCGCAGATCGTCAGCCCCCCATGGGGTGCGGGAGGTAGCAGATTATGCGTCACGCCGTTGTACCCACTGTGCTGGGCCCCCCAGCAGGCTTCGAAAGTGGCGTCGCAGATCGCAGCCCCCCAGGGATGGCGAGGTACAATTTGAGTCCGCCGTGTGTACCCACTGTGCTGGGCCCCCCGGCAGGCCTCGAAAGTGACGACAGTTTCGCAGATCGCAGCCCCCCCAGGGACGGCGAGGTACAATTTGAATCCGCCGTGTGTGCCCACTGCGCTGGGCCCCCCAGCAGGCCTCGAAAGTGGCGACAGTTTCACAGATCGCAGCCCCCCAGGGATGGCGAGGTCCCGTTTGAGTCCGCCGTGGGTACCCATTGTGCTGGGCCCCCCAGCAGGCCTCGAAAGTGGCGACAGCATCGCAGACCGCAGCCCCCCAGGGATGGCGAAGTACAATTTGAGCCAGCCGTGTGTACTGTGCTGGGCCCCCCAGCAGGCTTCGAAAGTGGCGACCGTTTCACAGATCGCAGCCCCCCAGCTGGCAC